CCTGTGGAACCTAATGAACAAAATAAACAAACAAATGGAAACAAATCCATAGACACAGAGAACATTTTTATGGTTGCTAGGTGAGAGAGGGATTGGAAAGTGGGTGAAAAAGGGGAAGGGATTAAGAAATATAAATTTATAGTTATGAATAATTATGGGGATGTAAAATAACATAGGGATATAGTCAATAATATTGCAATAACTGTATGTATGGTTTCAGATGGGTACTAGATTTACCAGGGTGATCGGGGTGATTTTTAAGTTATATAAATGTTATACACCTGAAACTAACATATGCCAACTATAATTTAAAAAATTAAAAATTAATTTTTAAAAATTGGCAGCAAATTTTAAAGAACAATATATACCTTTTCAGACAAAGGGGGGAAAAGTGCTTTGTATAAAAATTATCTTATAGTGTAACAAAATAACCAAAGGTTCTATTCAATACACAAGCCAAATTTTAAAAATAAATAGAACAAGAAAGATTTACTGGTTGCCTACCACATGCTAGGCATAATACAAGAGGCATATCACAACCAATCTATAGGATAGGTAGTTTTATTAATGATGAAACTGAGACTCTGACAGCCATTCACAGAGCTATTCAGTAGCAGAACTGGAAATTCATCCCAGGTCTGAGTGATAGCAGTGTATTTTATTCCCACAGTGCCACATGTAATTCACAGAAATGTAATTAAGAAATTCAGAAAGCATAAAAATTAGAGGCAAGACAATTATTTTTGAAGCAAAGAAATTATTTTCATTCAAACATTCAAGAAACAACAACATAAACACTGGTTCTAAATCACTGGAAAACTGAACTGAATATCTACATTCCAATCAGACAAAGAAAAACAAGTCAAATATAACAAAACATTTACATACCACACATTGTTTAATAGGTATAGAAAAGTACAGAAGGTATAGAAAATTCTTTAGACAATAAAAATGTTTCACAATTACATTTCATCAGACTTCTCTTTCTCTACAAAAAAGAAATCATACTTATTTTTATTAATGGACTAAAGTACAGCCAACAGGCAATGAAGTAAGTTTACTTGTATAAAACAAGTACTACTATAAATTTGCAATTTACAAGTGAAGCATGATTTCAAGCCAAACACTAAAGCAATATATAATCTTATCTTGGCCAGTGAGCTCCTCAATATCACTTGGTGATGAATTTCTTGGGAACAAAAACTCAGAATCTCCATTTTTCAGGTAATTTTACAGGACTAAACACTGACAATCCAAGCAAGTGTTACTATTTTCACTAATATAAAACTCATGTTATGCTTCCAGATGATGAGAGTTTTCTCGACTTTGTTTAAAAACTCAGTCATCCAGATTATCTATAGCCAATTCTGAATTCCAGTCTCACTTCCCCCCCCCGCCCCGCCCCTTGCTAATCAGCACACTCTGGACCATTACAACTTTCACCTAGGTTAGAGTGAGTTGGTTTATAAGTGCTCTGATATTTGGTATAATCAAGTAAATCAGAAAGGTAAGTCATAAGAGAAAACTCATAGTTCAGTATATTTTAATGATTTGTACAAATGATCTTCAAGAAATCAGCAATTCAACTCACATTCATTAGCAAGGATGACCTAGATAAGATCATTCTGTTGATTTATATTGCACAGTTTTTTGTCACTGAGTTATTCTGATTAGTGATGAGGTAAGCTCAGTAGAACACCTAAGTAAAAATGTATCCTTATAGCACATAATTAATCAAAGATGTAAAATACTAGGTGTTTAAAGTTTACATCACAAAGGAAAACAAGGTGATAGGGAAAATGCTGAATATAGGTCTCTCTAGCTTGAAGAAATGTGTAATTTCCTTTCTCAATCAATCTTACCAGTCAGTTAACTGGGCCTACTCACCATCTGAATCACCAAACAAAAAGGAATGCCTAACCCTAAAAGCAAAAAAATATAACTCTTAAATTTTTAAATGCATATAATATTTTGAAATCAGGTGGGGAAAAAAACATAGTGAAAGTAGAAGTCATTTGTAAACTTTTGAAAAACATCTGTATAAAGAAAATACAAACCACCTGCAATCTACCAAATATAATTATTTATATATTGATATAAATATTTAATTCTTTCCTCAAATAAGGGTTTATGGGTATGTGCCACAAATTCAGAATCAAACCACTTGGTCCAAGTTACCATCATGACAGGGTTATTACAATAGCCTCTTAACTATTTCCATGCTCCCATTCCTGCCACACTCCAGTCTATTCTACACGAAACAGCCAAAAGGATCTTTTTAAAATGTCAGTCATATTTCAATTCTCTGTTCAAAATCCTACGATGGCTTCTCATCTCAGAGTAAATATTAGATGCTTACAAAGTCCTCTAAGACCAATGTAATGATCCTCCATTTTTACCCTCAACTTTCACTTCTCTTGCCTTATTTCCTACACACTTTCTCCCTTAGCTTGTATCAATACTATTGACCCACGCCCTCACTGGAACACGGACACATCTCCGTGTGAAGTCTCCTAACATGGAGTTCCC